GTTTTTCTATTCCAAGCCACTCGAAATCTCATTTCCCAATGAAGAGTCCTCAAAAAAGATCACCAAATAACACACCAACTGATCAGCGTAAATTCCCGAACGCAATCAACAACGACCCANAACGACACCAAACCGCACACAAACACCGAAAATGACCCACACACACAATGGCTGGTTAAACCACAGTGCCGTAGAAATGAAATATTAAAGATTTCTAATCCAAAATTATTCGATTACAACAGAGAATTATTTACACGTGTGATGTGATGCAAAATATACGACGAATAAATAAATATGCAAAATCAACACGAAGACACGAAGCGAACTTTTCATAAAACACCAATCGATGAAAGCTGCTGGAACCGCAAGCCGGCCGGCTTAACCCACTCTTCAGGGAAAACAATAAAAGATTCCCGCGGGAAGAGGGAAGAATACCCACGGGAATTAAAACAACCACAAACATCTCGGTTAAGGTACATAAGTAAATTTGCGCTGTAGCATCGGAACAAATCCGAACGCGCTGTACCGTTCGGGACGGTTCGAAGTCGAATATTCGGGACGATTCTAAGCTGAATATTCGATCCTAGTTCGAATGCGTGCTTGCTTTTGGTGTGTTATTTCATTTGCGGTGTTATTTCAAACCCAGTAATAATGGCTTCGAAACAAGGTATTTTATTCACATTTCTAAGCTATCACCACCGTTGTGCTCACCGCTAAATCCGTCATCCATTTTCTTTCAGAAGACAACAACCGCAAGTTGCTCGAGGAACTGAATCGTACGCGACAGCTAATGATGAAAAATACTAGGTAAATGCCGCGACCAGTTGATCAAACAATTTTCCGATTGATCAAAATACTGATCAAAATTATTTTCTTCCAGAAACATTTCCAGCCAAACAACGCAAAAACAAAATTTCAGTTCCTCTCTTCGCACCACCACAGAATCGTCAGCACTCCGATGTGATCCACGTACCGTGCAGTTGGTCAACAATCTCGAGACGCAATGCCCCATCACGTTCGTGCCAACCAACTCACAGTTCAACAACGCCATTCTGCCGGTCTTCCCACGAATCCCGCCGCCTCCTTAAGTGGACGAATTCCGCTCCGGTCTGAACCGTCTACCTTGTGGCACTTGATTCTGCACACATTTCTTTCTGTGTACACATCAGCACCACCCCGTTGATTCCGTTTTATCCACTTATTTGTCAACTTCCATATTACCATTATAGCAAAATAAGTCAAAATAAATACTTTCAATTATTTCGGTATTTTCAACCAGTCATCTGCATCACTGGATCTATAATTTTTTTTAAAATGACAGCAATAAATATATTTGCCAAAAGTGGCAAACAACATTTTCCTCAGTTTATTCGAACGTCTTATAATATCAGCGATCATCACAATACTATTATTTACAAAGGCACACCTTATGGATCATGGCATACACAGTAGAGGAATCATAAGCGCAGAGGCAAAACATCGTCATGAGGCACATAAGTGAATCCATTAGAACACAATAATAACAAACAGTAATAATTTAACATCATCGAATAATTAATCACCAAAAAACCAGTTAAATTAGTCATTCCGAGACTGAGCGGCTGCAAGTGAATTTGAAAGCGAACCTGCAGTGACGGCTGCTGCTGCAGCTGGAGACGAACAGCTGGGCGCGTTGATTGAGTGTCGTTTCATGTGAAGACTCAAGTGGTCCGACCTTGAGAAGGCACGATCGCATAGACTGCAGTTGAACGGTCGATCACCCGTGTGCTTTCGATAGTGCCTCAAATTGACAGATAGCCGTTTGTGACTGACACATACACGTACTTACTTACTTAGAAACGCCTCCAAATCAGCGTCAACCTCATAAATCCTTCGTTTGACCTATTCTGCCCCTCAAACAGATTCCACTCACCTTGTCAACTCGTCACTCCGCGCAAATTTCCAACCACACGATGGCCAATTGCAGCAGTACGGCTTCTCACCGCTATGTGTCCGCATATGCGCCTTCAGGTGGGAGCTTTTACTGTATTTCTTGCGGCAGCCTGGATGCACACATTCGTGGCTACTGGATGACTGCACCAGTTTCTTGGAGAGTCGTCTCGAAGACGACACTTCAGCTGCGGCAGCAACACAATGTCGGCGTTTCAACAGAGCAGCTGCGGCAGGGCTGATCGCCCTCTTCGCCATCCCATGGGTGACAGCAGTTACGGTCACGCTTGTGCACGTACACGCCGACGATGCCGAAGGCGAGGCCGAAGATGAGCATGGGCTTGCTGATGAACTACTGCAAAATGAAAACTGACCACACTACGCTGACCTGTTTTATTAAATTAAAATCTAAATAGCTCTCACGAACGTCTTTAGACCAAACGCCAAAAACACCTACACCCTCTACGCCAAAACACCAAGTCAAACCCTCTCAATGAATCAAACAAACTGCACAAGATATCAACTCACCTTGTCGAATGTCGACCAAATTCCGCCCGTTGTGCCTTCTCTAGAGCTAGAACATTCTCTAGAGCTGCTCCTGAGCTGCTTGCTGATCCAGATCGTAGTTCTTGCCCGGACAGGCCACATAATGAAGACGAACGGCTTAGGCATAGCTCACGATCAGCTGCAACGCACAGTTGCTGTTGTTGGTGTGCTGCTGCTGCCACGGCTACAGAAGGACGTTGACGTTCTCGAGATGTCACCAGGAGAGGCAATGCACCCATCGGAAGACAACCTTGTGCATTCGGCTGCTGCTGACTTTCGGCTGAATAACCGGCCGCGGCAAAATGACCCGTACAAGCCACTGCCGCACAATTATTTGCGTAATTACTACCTGAAGGAATCTGGCAGGCTGCTGCTGTTGCTGCAGTGTTCGATGCCACGAAAGAGGATGTCGAATAAGGCCCCGCTGACAAGGCCAGCTGACATGCTCCGTCGCTCGTTTGTTGAGCAGCAGCAGTAGCAGAATCGGGCTCGTCATGCAAATAGGAGCGCGGAATCGAAGCGCACATAAAACCTCCGGTCAAACTCAAAGTTGCCGCAGCACTCGAAGAAGAACAACAAGGTGCTCCTGCACCTTCTCCCCCGCTCCTCACCAAAAATTGATCCGCTGCGTCCTCCAGGTGATCGTTTCGGTGCACCATCGTCGTCGACGAGCNCTGCTGGCACTTTCAGAGAGCTTCAATGTTGTTGGCTCAAGCTTCACTCCCATCGCGACCTCGGCACGCTCAAATTGTGCCGATGCGGCCATCTGCTGATGCCTAGTTAAGTCAGTCGTCGCCTCACGCTCTGATCTCGACGTCCAATTTCTATTCGAACACTTCGGCTCTCGAGCACATACTTCCACGTAGTTCTGCTCAAATTTCACATCGCATTCCTCCAATTTTACTGCTGTTGTCGTTGTTGGCTCAGACGACGACAAAGCCAACGGGAAGGTGCTCATCGAGATCGAGTCGTCGCCGCAGTCGTCTTTTGGCCCAACTTCGGCAGCACCAAGCGGGCTGCTCGCTTGTTCCGAGAGCTCCGATCCCGAGCCAAATTCTCCATTCGAATCCAAGCAACAACCACTCGGTCCTTCCGACGCTTCATGCGGCTCTGCTGATCCGGCTGCACTACCACGACGCTTTTTCACCGGAACGGGTGGTAGACTCAGTGTTATCGGTGGATCACGATGGCAACGATCGTGAGAGCGTAACTGCAACAACACAAAAAATTCAGCAATCAAAAATAACATCTCCGAACAGCAGTCAATGCAGCACCATCTCCACCACCACCTCCAAAACATTACTACTTCAATTAAATCAGTCAAATACAA